GTGAAGGAATTCTACTTAAGTGTAGCATTGATGCATGTAATGATTATGGGCTAACAGCACTGAACAACTTTTTTAAATTTACAAGAATAAATTAATGAAAAACAATTTGAATTTTGCTGTGCTAGAGAAGTTCCCACATATTTTCATAGTGGGGGCACATCTTAGAACAATTGTGTGTTGTAGATAATCTACCTACTCACTGGTGATTGCACAGACCTCCCCCACACCTTCACGATTCCTTAACATCCCTGTTGCAACTACAGCAACTGCTCGCCTGGATGAAGTAATATTAGAAAAGTACTCATGTATTTTTAGCTTCCCTTAATATAATTTAGCAGCTGGAAATTAGAAGCCAGAACCATGTGACCATCTAGTGGTCTGTGAATCACTATCAAGAAATATCAAAACAAAATTTTGTTGTTTCAAAACAACATTTTGAAACAAAATTAGTTTTCATTTTGACAAATGCAATATATTCAAATGAATATCCATTCAAAACCATTTTCATTTTGGTCAAAAAGTTTTGTTTTGAGATTTCTGATTCAAAACTTTTTATTTTTCATTCCTTAAGAATTTTCTGATATTTTGACACTCTGTTCTGATTTGAAAGGGAAACTAGTTTAAAAGTACTGAAGTTTCCAGCAGGCCATTTTCTGCCCACCTATAATCACAAGTCAGAGATACAGGAAGTTGTGGGAGTTAAATCTGTATGCAAGTGTAATTTTCAGGTTTCAAGGTTCAATTTGTTAAAAAAGTTAGACTGAAGTCAAAGAATTTCTAAAGGCCTAGCCACTACCATTAGGTAGATTACCGTGGACATCACATGAGAGGTGGGTTTTGCATACTGCAGAAGATTCCCTGCGTCATCCTACTAAATACAAACCCGAAAATTTTTAGGCCTCTGAGATTTGCTTCCTAGAGGGCAATACATCAAACTGCAAGGTAGCCAACTACTTTAATATCTTACACTGGAGGAAGATTCCTGTACAACTATCAGCACCAGTGATTAAGCATCTCAAGGCCATATTTTCAGAAGCGTTCAGCACTCACATCTGGTGCTATTTTTTGTTGTTGTTTTTCTAGTAACAGCTCAGCACCTAGCAGCAACCACTGACAACAATGAGGTGCCAGGAGCTGAGCACTTATGAAATGTGGCCCCTCTACTTCAAAAATTGGTGTAAGTCTGAAATAAAGGTCAGTAACCAGATATGAAAATATTTATTATCCTTTATGCCAACTTTCCAAGTGCCATTTTGCATAGCACCAGCGAAGATGGCTGCAACCGGCCCTATACCAAACAGGAAAAACTACACTATTTAAGCTGTCCTGTGCAACCCTTCACCCTCCCACATTGACAGGCTGGAATTTGTCCCATTTCTCAACAGGACAGTTAAAGTCTCAAGCAAAGACAAAGAACAATGAAATTAGCTATTCTTAGCTGCATATACAAATATATAAAATAGTGTTCCTAATCTACCACCGACATGATTTTCACTGCCCATCAACTTCAGGAAAAGTGCTGTGTGCAACATTGACCTCCATACCTGGCCTTCAATGACCTCACAAAAGCATTTGACTCCACCAATCATGAGGCTGTGAAGAATTCTCCTTAAATTTGGATGCCTGCCAAAAAAATTTGCCATTCTCTCTGACTCCATGACAACATGTTTGTGACTGTTGTCGGCAATGGATCTGAAACAGACCCCTTCCTAGTCAAGACAGGAGGTAAGCAAGGTTGTGTCAGCTCCAACCCTTTTCTCCATCCTCCTTGCCATCATCCTTCTTCTCATCAGTGACAAGCTCCTCTCCGGACCTGATCCCCAATACAGAATGGACAGCAAGCTCTTCAACCTCAATCGCCTCCGATCCAAGACCAAAACTATCATTAAGGCTGTGAGTTTGTCACAGAGGTCACGGAAATCACAGCTTCCGTGAATTTCCGGGACCTCCATGACTTCTGCAGTGGCCGATGCAGCTCAGGCAGCCCCTGAGCCAGCTGCAACAGCCACTGCTGGGGCAGTCTCGCGCCACCGCGCCCTCCTCCCCCAGCAGCAGCAGAAGTTTGGGTGTGGGCTCAGGGCTGGGGTGCAGGACAGGTTGAGGGCTCTGGACGGCGCTTACTTTGGAGGTGGGAGGGAGGAGGGACTCCCTGGAAGCGGCGACATCCCTTGGTTCCTAGGCCTCCACCTGCAGATACCGCCCCCACAGCTCCCATTGGCCGTGGTTCCCGGCCAATGGGAGCTGTGGAGCCAGCGCTCGGGGCGGAGGCAGCGTGCAGAGCTGCCTGGCCATGCCTCCGCCTAGGAGCAGAGGAAGGGGGATGTCGCTGCTTCCAGGGAGGCATGAAGCCAGGCAGGAGCCTGCCAGCCCCGCCCCCCCGCCCCCCCAGGCTGACCCCCTCCTCCCCTGCAAGATTTAGTCAAGGATATATAGTACTAGTTATGGACAGGTCACGGGCCATGAATTTTTGTTTACTGCCCGGGACCTGTCCATGATTTTTACTAAAAATAGCCATGACTAAAACATAGCCTTAACTATCACTAAATCAGTCATTGAACTCCAATATGCAGATGGCTGTGCCCTGTGCGCTCACTCGGAAGAAGATCTTCAAAAAATAGCCAACACGTTCTCTGAGGCCTATAACCAATTTGATCTCACACTCAACACCAAGAAAACTAAGGTACTCCACCAACAAGCTCCGAATCACCAGGATCCTGCTCCCGTAATTCAGATCAATCAAGAAACCCTGGAGAACATCAAGCACTTTTTACTTCGGCAGCTACCTGTCACACAAAGCTGACATTGATGAGGAAATTCAACAGTGCCTTCAAATGCACCAATGCAGCTTTTGGACACTTGAGAAAACATCTTCAAAAATCGTGACATCAAGAATCAAACCAAGCTTCTCATGTACCAGGCCGTTGTTGTCTCTGCTCTCTTATATGGGGCTGAAACCTGGGTCAGGTACAGTAGACAACTTAAGGTTCTTGAATGATACCATCCATGGTGCCTCTGCAAGATCTTCCGAACCAAGCGGGAAGACTGAGGCACCAACATCAGTGTTCTGTCCCAAGCCAAACCTCCAGCATTGAAGCTATGATCATCCACCAACTCCTCCATAGGGCTGGTCACGTTGTTCGAATGCCAGAAAATCGAATCCTGAAGCAGGTCATGTTCTCACAATTGTGCCATGGCCAATGGACAAGAGGGTGGGGGGGGGGGGGCAAAAAGTGCTTCAAAGACACCCTCAAAGCCAACAAAGAAGTGCAATATTGACAAACTCATGGGAAACCCAAGTCCTCAATGACCAAAATGGAAAAGGACTTTGTTGCAAGGATCCCAGTATTTCAAGATCCAACAGAAACAACACAAAATGGAGAAATGGGATAGAAGGAAAGAACACACCGCAGCCCCACTCAACAATCTTGATCCACCCCTTCCATTGGGAAACGTGATTGTGACAAGATCTGTGGATCCTGGATTGGTCTCATTAGCCACCTGCAGATCTACCAGCAATAACTGACTATCGTTATATGGAAGAGAACCATCCTCGAACTCTGAGGGATCGTGGACTACTATACTATTTTATGTTTCTTTTTCTTGAAAATTACAGAGGAAGTATCACAATTTAAAAGAACGCTGCTCATCTCAGCATTTTGAGTCACTTGCCATATACAAACATTGTAGTCAAGTGAAAAACACTTTCCACTAAAACTAACATTGCCAGTGATCTAGTTGTTTGTACACTGCACCGCTATGTGGTAAAATCTGATAGAAACCCTGCATTTATGCTACCTAATAGTTCCTGCTAGAAAAGTCCCTGGATTTTTTTCTGAGACATTTTAACCCCAACATTGTTTCCAGCAGGCCTTTGAAATTTTGCAAGGAGGAAGCCCTCAGACTAGACATGTGCCTTTTGCTTATGCCATGAAATTCTATTCAACGTGGCTAAGATATAAACTGTTAAACCACCCCTTCTCTTACTTGCATTACTAAGGAAAATTCTGACAACATGCCAAAATTGTAACTGAACACGGTAACAAACAGAGCCTAAACTGCCATTCAAACAGCAGTGGCACAAATTTGTACTCAAAATGCCAGGGAACTACCAGAGCAGCCTGGGATGAGGGGAGGAAGAAGAGAGCCAGATCAAACTTCCCCCTGACCACAACCTCTATCACATGGCTTGATGGGTCCATTTTGCCCTCTGGGGTCATCACATGGGGGAAGTGCTTCTCCAATCCATGGAAGAGGTGGAAAGACCCAGACTAGACTCCCCTCAAGTCCCTGCCCCTACCATCTTGGAAGAGTAGAGAGACCCAAAAAAATAAAAGGGGAGGGGGGAAATCCCAAGGCCTGCTTCTTGCACACTCTTCCAGTGTCACTTTCTGGCACCAATACTGAATAGAAAGTTCTTGGTTTGTTTATTTTTAAGTTCTTTTTCTACATTTTCCATTTATTACATCATTAACTACAGCTTTTGGTATATGAGGGACAGTTTTGAGATACTGATGGATTTCAGAACTGAAGATATTTCAGTAGTCTTGCTTGACCCCTGTATAACACAGGAGGTGACCGAATGTAACACATGAAGTTCTAAAAAGTGGCTGGTGGCCGTTCACATCTTTAATAAAGAAGTGACACCTATAGAAACCGCAGCTCCCAGCTATGCAGTTCTTCATCTTGACCCAAACAGAAGGCTGCTGGAATCAAGACTGATCACTGCATACTAGGAGCCACAGTACCCATGGCCTACACCTCGATAGTCAGAAGTTAAGATCAGCTCTAACATGCTCTGCCTTACAAATTTGATGCCCCTCAACTCAGGAACATCTGAGCTCCTGGTATGCACATTTACCATTGTTTTCTTATTCTGGACTCCACTATTTTCCACACAGTTTTTAATACCCCTAAAAATTCAAAGAGTACAGTGTTGTTATAATACCACTAAGTAGCCTTAATGAAGCTTATTGTCTGTGAGCCTCTCAATGCTAACTTACCTTCTCTCCGCTAGAGTAGAAGAAGTATCGCAATCGGACAATGTTACAGTGATCCAACTTTCTCATGATCTGGAGCTCTCGGTTCTGAAAGAGTAAAAGCACCGTGAGGTTAGGAAAATTGTGTTTTTTGTTGTTGTTGTTGTTGTTGTTTTAAACAGTGGTGTTACGGTGTACTGTGCACCTTAAGTGTATTGGCCAAGAGCACATGAAAGCCACTGAATCAGGGATGCATTAGGAATGGGGTGTTGAAAAGAAAAAGTCTGGAAGTTTAAATAGGAATGTAAGTAGCTCCTTTGCCATAAGTACCAAATGTGGTTTAGTCTGTCTCATGTTGCTCCTCATTCCTCTTCCTCCAATTGTTTTAACTATAGTATTCAAGGGTGCAGATTTTCTTAAACTAAAGAGCACTGTAATTAAACAACTAACCCAAGGTGTTGAGCACCAGAGCTTGTTGCTGACAAGCAGATGCAATAAATGTTGTACTCAAACTCAGAGTTAGTTTTCAGTTTGTATTTTCTAAGCTTTGAAAGCTACATATTCTAGTTTGAATGGTCAGCAGGCTTGAACTGTTCACAGAGTGGAATGGTAATGATTTCACAGTTAAGGCTGCAGCAGGGTTTTAAATCTATTTTGAAGATGCTGTAAAAGTGGTAAAAACAGAACAGACGTTAACTGACATTTTATTTTTTCATGTTGGTTTGGTGCATGTTGGGTAGACACAACTAATTAATCAAAAATAACAATTCCAAAGTTTTAAAAGGTGATTCCACCTTTTCTTGGAACCCTTTTGTCAGAAATGTCTAGAGCTCATGGATCTGATTTTTGTTTGGACAATATTATAGAAAAGCAGGTACTCTCTTTTTCTTCACAATGGTTTCTAAGCTGCTATTGCACAGCACACAGAGAGACAGGTGAACACATTTCCACACCAAATACTCCTGTTGCCTAAGGCAGTTCCCTGAGCTGGGAATCAGACAACCATGCATTCCAATCTCACTTCTACTGACTGAAGTCTAACAAGATTTATACAGAACTATCAGAAGGACACACTGTTTTGCTTGGCAGAATAAAGACAATTACTGTTAGTGACTAAACATCTCCACTTCGTAGCAATCCAAAAAAGCCATTAATTTAAAATACATTTATACAGCATGATAAATGTGCATTAGCTCATGACAGATGACAATGGTCCCTGCTTCAAAAAGCTTAAGACAAAGTGAGATGGTGACAAACATAGGTGTGCAGGGAAATAGACTGGGGGCCCACAGTGATGAGCCTACAGTACAAACAAAGCAACAATCCATTTTCCAGAGAGCTTACACTCTAAAAACAAAAATAAATGAAGGACTGAAGTATGGATGGGGATAGAACACAAAAGGAGATGTAACTAACAAAGCCATGCCAATTCATGTATTGTTATTGGTACAGTCCCGTCCTCCCCCCCACACACACCATCCCCTAATCACTTCTTCCATGTTCTCTTTTCCACATCTCTTTTACCTCTACCTAAACTGTAGGAGACAGTGTAGTGTATCAGTAGCAAAAGACGTTCAAGCTTATAGAGACTAGTCTCTATAAAATCAGATCTGAAGCTAGCTTTTTAAACACATCCAATTTTGAATGTACCCCTACACCTTAACTTTGCCAGATTTCAACTGATATCTGAAATTTGGCATGCAGCATCTTAGTCAGAGGAAAAATCTTTTTGCAAGACTTGGGGCAAATGGGAAAAGAGATTTGAGAGCTAGAGGGTGGGGAGGGTTAAAAAATTCAGGCTAGTTACATTTCTGGGTCGTTTTCTTAACTTTTTTTTTTTTTCTTTGTCACACGTCCGGCCAAAACAGCTTGATTTAGAAACATTAAATTTGTCTTGTTAGCACTGTTACCTCTGACTAAATTCGGGAAGATTTGGGAGGGAGAGAATGTTTCCATACACTTAAGTGCACATAGCTAATGTTTGCTTTATAAAGCATCACTGTCATAATATGGACTTCATAAGCCATGCATCAAAGCCCCCTCCTGTCCCGTCCCCCCCCAGTCATTACTATGCAAACTTCAGAAACTCTATGGATCATATGGAGGTCTTAAAGTGTGCATGGTTCTGACCCTCAGTTCAAGACGCTTTCTACCTTCTGCTTCAAAATCCTTTACCATATAGCCTTAAGTACAGGTGCTAGCTAGGAGGCCTTGAATTTTAATCCTATCACTGTCACTGACTGAATTTAAATAATGCTTTGTATTATATAGCACTTTACAATCAGTGACATTTCACAACACCATTATGAAATTGGCAATCATCTTTGTTTATAGATAAGAAAACTGAGGCTCAGAGAAATGACTGATTAAAAGCCCCACTGGTTGTGGCAAATCCATGGAAACAATGCAGGTTTTGTGCACGACAGGCACATAAGCTGCCTCAAATTACCTCTCTAATGTGCTTCATTTCTAACCTGGAGAAGCCAGCTGAGGGGGGGAGGGACGGGGGGAGACGGACGGACACGACAGAAGGGAGTTCAAATCTTCAATCATTCTGTCCCTGATCTCTATTAAGATTGCTAAAAAAGAACAAATATTACCAGCTATGCTGGTGTTTTCTGTAAGGCACATTTATTCACTGGGAAGAAGAATGAGTTCAACATTTCACACTAACCACTGGACATTCATCATATAGTATCAGCTTTTAGTCATTAGAGAAACAGGTCAAATCTGAACCACTGATCCTAAATATGAAAGGCTCCATATGCCATCAGTCACTCAGCTCTCGATTATGATAGCAATCTTAATACTTTCTGGAGGTGTTCACATTTCCACTGGAGTACTGAACACAAGATTGGAAGTCTGGAAGTTCTGAGATCGAAACCCAACTCCACCAGCAATTTTTTCATTACATGACCTGGGACAAGTAATGTCTCTGCCTTTGTTTCAACAGCTTGAAGACGGGGATAGTAATAATTTCACACCTCCAACAGGTATTGGAAGATAAATCAATGTTTGTACAGTGCTTTGAATGTGTAAAGCACTACACAAGTATTATTTCAGCAGTATCTTTATAAACTCCTGAATAAGTGTGTACACTCCAGCTCATACTGTTGCTTCATGTTCTTAGGATCTGCATGTCTGATAGCATATAATAATACATTCCGGAAATCAGCAGATGTTATTCTAACACTGTTACAAGTTCTATTGTGTGTCAGTATCCCATTCCAGGACAAGTGCGATCTCTGCTGCTCTGACGCCTCCCACTCCATTTCCTTAGGCGCTCTCCCTGACCATCTGTCGCAGCTCTATGAACAGCTCATTACTGAGTGGTGACAGGAGAGTTAATTCAACCAAATACGCAGTAAAACTAACACTTCACATACTAGAATCTAACAGGATAAAATGAAGGATTTTTATTTCTTTAAAGTAAAACCTAGCCAATCTCTGAATCACAGTTCACCTGAACAAATTAGATCAAAAATACATAAACAGCTGTGAAATTACAACTGTTATTGTAACAGGGAACACATACTAAAGTTAATTATGATTAAAATAGTCTAATGCTAAAATATGAAATGCAGTAAGCTAAGGACCCATTTTTCTCATATTAGTACTCCAAGCATATAAAATTTCCCTGAACACAGCCTAAATACACAATAGCCACTCACTTTACAACGTAGCATATTACCAAATAGTTCACAACTACAATGACTGTTCTTGCCTTGGAGATCACTCAAATCATAGCTTTTGAAACAAACAGAAAAGCTCCAAATAAAGATGAGAAAGTGTGAATGGACTACAGCATATGAAATCAACTTCTATTATTAGTGAGAGCCTTATTACATAAATTAGTGATGGCTACCTTAGATACAATTAGAACAGATAAAATGCTTGTCTAAATACAGTGCAACTAAAATCATTTCAGAGACACAGTCAAGAAAGGCTGACAGAGCACATCCAAAGTAGAGGGTGGATGAAAACACAAGACCTCTGCTCATACCCAGTAATGCCTCTTTCTTGTGTTCCAGAAGCAACAATCCAGCCAGTGACTTGAGTGATATATCCAATGCGCAAAGACAAGCTTCTCCTAGCACAGTGGTTCTCAAACTCTGGGTCAGGACCCCAAAGTGGGTTGGGACCCCACTTTAATGAGGTTGCCAGGGCGAGCATTAGACTTGCTGGGGCCCGGGCCCGAAGCCGAAGACTGAGCCCCACTAGCCAGGGCTGAAGCCCAAGGGCTTCAGCTCTGGCCAGCGGGGCTCAGTCTTCGGCTTCAGCCCTGGCCAGCGGGCTCAGCTTACAACCCTCCCCCCACCCCCGGATGAAGCCCTCGGGGTTCATCTTTGGCCCCCCCAACCCAGGATGGCAGGGCTTGTGCTTCAGGTTTGGCCCTCCAGCCCAGGGTGGCAGGGTTCAGCCATGCTCAGGCTTCGGTCCCCCGTAGTAATTCTTATTGTCAGAAGTGGGTCACGGTGCAATGAAGTTTGAGAACCCCTGTCCTAGAATATCTTCTATCAACAATCTCACCAAATGTTACCATCCTAGTTTTCTTAAAAGCAAGGAAAAGGCTTGGTATAAAAAGGCTTTTAAATATTTTCTTTGGGGGTAGAGTATGGCTTTTTCCAGGTTGTACATTTCCAAATTTCTACAACCCTTTGCTAACCATAGCTACAAACCACAGAGCAGTTAGTCTAAATCAGAATTATGATCTCACTAAACATTAGTGAATGTGCAACCCTCATTCCCAACTGCCACAATGGAGAACAAAATAAAGCTTCATTTATACTGAAATAAAGAATTCCTGAAGCACACATTTCTTTGAGAAACACTGAGTATTAAGGGGCTACAAACAGATCTCTTTGCAACTTATTTGCAGTTTGTGTTATTCAGCTAAAACCAGAATGAAGAAGGGGTGTTTACATGTGAACCTAGAAAGTTAAACTCTACGTTTTTTCTTGGTGATAAAATTATAAAATCTGATGTGCCAAAAGTGCCCCTTCAGTAATGATTATTCTATCACTTCTAAAACACTCTTCCTAGCCCTGAATGTCAAAGAGACTACCTATATAGCTTCTTATTTTAAATTAACCTGATTGCCCATCCCA